GCTCCGTGCCTCGCTGCCTGGGAAACTTCGGAAGCTTGCCGGGGGGCGTCCGTCTCCTGCCCCGAAGGGAGCTCCGCCGGAGGGAAGTATCCCCGTGCGCACCCGCTGGATGGCGCGGACCCTGAGACCCGACGACATCAACCCCCGGACGGGGCTGGTGGTGGCTCTGGTCAGCGTCTTTCTGGTATTCGGCTTCATGTTCACCGTGTCTGGCATCAAGGGAGAGACCCTGGGCGACATCCCGCTGCTGGCCATCGGGCCGGCCATCTGCCTGCCGGGCATCGCCGCCATTGCCCTGACCAGAAAGACCGACGGCTGCACCAAATGTCCCGAGAACATGCGTCCGTGCTGTAAGGAAGTCAAGGACCGGGATGTCATGGAGCTGCTAAGGACCCCCTCGGACCTAGAGTCCGGCAAGGGAAGTTGTGACGAGCTGGCCAGGAAAGCTTACCGCAAGGACAGGAGAGGGCTGAGGGTAGAGGACACCGTGTTCATCTGCACCACCAGCAGCACCGGCGATGCCACGGGAGAGTGCAAGAGCCTCACCAAAAAAGTGGAGCAGGAGGAGATGCTGAAATACCTGGAGAGCTGTTACCCAGAGATGCCAGAGAATGTGTTCGTGGGAGATGGCCCCACATACAGTGCCTTGGAGAAGAAGAGCTCTTCTCCCAGCAGGGACAGCACTCCTTGCCCTGACGTTGAAGACAACATTTTTGTGGCTCCTAAAGATAGTATCATTGTCTGCTCTTACAAGGATAACAGCCCTTATGACAGCTACTGTTGTTACATAAACCCCAACACGGACCAGGAGACCATTGTGTGAAAGATGCATACTTTATATATATGTATGTATACAGGGACTGCAAATTGATAGGGGATAATATAGCTGACTGCATGGGACAATTCTGATACTATTTCAATTTAAAGTGGTATGTGACTGATACTCCAACCTTTTGTGCCTGAAGTACTCTTTCTGTAAGTAGATGAGCATGTTTAAAGGTTAAAGAATTCAATTTTTAATTTTTGGGAAAAAAAAAAATTACATTTTAATTTTATTTTTCTCCCTTTCCCTCCCTTTTGTTTTCCTGCTGCCCATTGTACCCAAGCCTGTAGGCACACTGGCAGAAGGACAGCAGTGGCTGTCAGCTGAAATCAAGAGCTGAATGAAACTCTGGAGCTGTCTGTAAGAAAGAATGTGGTGCTCTATGGGTGAATAAGTTTTTGAAATACTGTCACTTCATTTTGGGAGGGATTGAGAGATGTCAGCATGAACTCCAGTAGCTGGCTGATGTCAGGGAATGTAGAAGTCATTTGTCTCCCTTTGTCCTGGCAGGATTTTATTTTTCATTGTGTCGAGGAATAGATGTCCTGACCCCATGGGCTCTTCTGAAAGTCTCCTGGGAGCCAGATAGGCTCAGGAGAGTTTTCAAAGACTAACCCATCATCAATAGCATGAACATAGACATGTTAGCTTAATTTTCCACTGGTCTTGAGTTCACTGGAATGTTTCTAACACTTTTGGATTTTACAGGCATACTTGACGAGAAGAATGCACCATGAGCACGACACAGTTCTTGCAGAGACTAGGAGCAGATGTCAGTGAGCTCAGGTCTTTAAAATATATATCAGTACCTCAAAAATTGCTTCAGGAATAGATTACTGTGAGTTATGTTCAGAGTGGGATCTGACTCTTCTGAAAATGCCATTTTCTTGTGCCTTTTCTAAAATGCCAGATATTTCTGTATGGGGATGCATGGTGACAGTCCACTCAGGGGTCTCAAAACCATGCTTTGCTGGGAGAAGGGAACAGAGGACCTGACTGACAGATGGTTTTTTCACAGCTTATGGATACATAGCAAGAAAATGTGAAGTGAGTAATGAAGATTAACCTGCATTCAGAGCCTGCAGTTTACATCCTGAAATACAAATCCTGGCTATCCTGTCCAACACTAAGTTGCATGTTCCATGCTGTGCATAAACGTCTGACCTGACCTCTACGGTGTAGGTAACAGAGGTGTGGTATAATACAGTGTGCATGCTAAGCAGCTACTCTAAGTGTTCAGGTCATAGGGTAAAGCACAGAGTAATTTGCTAGCATCTCACAAAGCCCCAGTTTCCTATAAGTAAACTCCCAGAACGCCAAAAAGTTATTGTGTGATCAAAGTCTTAATTGCCGTTCCTACTGCCTGGTTTTTTGTCAACGTAAGTTGTACTAAAGAAATGTTATTGAGTTACCGGAGTAGGAAATAAGAAAAACAGCCTTTCATTTTTAGCAACCTGAGATGTTGTGTAGAAAATTAAAAGGAATTTTGCACTCAAATGAGGCTTTCCATGCCTATGGAATTGTTTGGAAAGTGAATGTAAATTTTATATATATATATATATATATACTTACGTGTGTATTTGTTTGTTGAGAAATTTATGTCAAATCATAACAGACAACCAGTGTCTGAAGATGTTTCCAGAAGAAGGAAACAATTTTTTGACTAGCTTGGTGTCTCTCAGACCAAATAAGATGTTAACCTTTTGGCCAGGCTTTGGTGGGGCATCTGGATACTCTAGGATAAATTCAAAAAACACTAGCTAGTTGAAGCCAGGCAAAAACTCTGAATAGGTTAGCATAGCATAGCATAGCAGCTCTGCTGCTCAGGCATGCAACAACACTACTGTGGTAATAAATGAACACCTGCACTCTGTGGAGCCCAGGTTTTATCCAATGAGCAAAGGAATTCAACAAAAACAGACCCTCTCCCTGACATGTTCAGCTTCCACATGAAAGCACTTGTCAGCAGCTTACCTCCTCCTTCAGCTTAGTCACTGCAGGACCTTATTCTGCAATGTACAGAACAAGTCTTTAATGACACCACGAAGTCTTATTTAATGGCCTCTGAAGCCAACAGCTAAAAAGCTGCTGATGAACATGTTGACAAATAGGGTCTTTTGCTTTCTGCTTCTAATCAGAGCAGGTGAGGGTCTCACTGTGTGCCCAGGGGTGTTGAGCATCCCTGGAGATGAGACCCACCATGAGAAAACAGGCAACTGGGTCCTGCCTGCTGCCTTTGACAGGGTTGTGAGTAATCGCTTGCCTTGCATAAGAGAGAAAGGCACCAGCCTTCTGGGAACCTAGTTTTGTACAGTTCTGCAAATATATATAGGAAGCAGTCAAGTTTTTCCATTTTGTTTAGGATTAGATGTTCTGTGTCAAAAGTTACGTGGGCTTTTTCATGACAAGACAGCAAACTCTAGTGACAAATGGAATAGTAAATATATAACTTGATATACAGACATGCAGATGTGAGTAATGTGCTTTTGTCCATTCTTAGTGTACAAACAAGAGAATGCTTGTATTCAGGCAAAGTTTAATGGGAGTGAAAACTTCCCACAAGTTATAGAAAGAGATATAAAAAAATGTGTTTAAAATTTGATAGTTGCAGGCAACGTGATTCCTCCATTCATTCAGATAAGATTTCACAATAAAATACAACTTCAAGCAATATTTCTAGGCTAATATACCATAATCCTTTAAATTTGGTTATTGAACGTGTGAGAATTTGAAATTAGAGAAATAAATTAGTATGGTCTCTAAAACCTCTTTTTTTTTCCTTTTTTTTTTCATTTTTCTTTTTCCTGCTAGTTTAATAGAGAGTGAAATGGAAATCGATTATTTTGGCCATTTAAAAAATATTAATTTGTAAATTTGAAAATTAAATGGGTTTAGATTTTTTGTTTGTTGGGGGATTAGGTGTTAAGTTTGGGTTTTGTTTGTTTTGTGGTTCTGTTTTTTTTTTTTTTTTTTTTTTTTAATAAAGTGACATTTTCATAGTTCTACCAGTAGAACTCTAACACATATTTGATCACAGACATTATGACAGCATTTTCAAAATTTTTATGCATATAACACGGCCACATCAGAGAGCACCTGGGACTTTATTTTCATTCAGCTCATGTGGACACTGGAACTTGTGGTACCAGTGCTGATCTTAGAGCAAGCAGGAATAATCACTTTGCTTTTCAGAGGAAGCTTCTAGTCTGAATTTGGCTTCAGAATACCACAGCTTGGGGTGTGATTCCAAGCCGTGACCAGAGATGAGAGCTTCTTTCTGTTCCTGCTATTTTAAAAAACTCCGGGTCAAAGTCCCACTTCTCTCCTCAGTGCTCTCTTCCAAACAATGCATGAAGCTGTAGGGGAGCTCAGCTTGGGGGATAAATATCTTGGGGGATAAATGTCTTGTAAACCACATATTGCTTGGTCCTAAATTATGTGTTGCAGGGTGTATAAAGCATTTAATGGCAAACGTAATTTGGGCATTTAGAGAAGTTTCCTAAGATATATAAACTTTATTTTTGGAATAGCATTTGTCATAGTGCTACAGTGTAGTTTATCTTCTTTTAAGAGACAATGTGATATGCAGATCAACAAAAGGCAATTTTGTGTCGCTTGTAACAAGTAGCATTTTTACAGTCATAGAAGCTGATCACTGCAGTGTTTAAAATAAAGTTTTAATCAGTGTGCACTTTTTCCTCCTGAGTGCAAAACAATAGCTGGTCCTTTTGGCCCAGAACTGAATAAGCAAGAGGTGAGTGTGCTCAGCGTATGTGTCACTCTGGACTGTATTCTTCATCTCCATTCTGCAGAGCTGTCATACTCTTGCAGAGGCAGTTCCTCCCCCTCTGATGCAAACTCTGTGCAGCCCTGGCTCCAGTAATTATTAAATATGTTGCTATTTCCAGAGTAACAGCTACTGTGACCCCCTCTTACCATGCCTGCTGCTACATACCAGACTTCTCCTGTTTGGCCAGGGTGGTAGAGTTTGACACTACATCACCCATCCAATCTAAGCTGTTATGTTGAGGTATTCAATTATATTGTCAGTTCTTGCAGCACAAGTTTGGGATTTTGCCATGGGTTAGAGGTGGGTGACTGTCAGGCTGCTAAGTACTGCCAACCTGATTGTCATGGTTTGTGTAGGGACTAACCTATTTACTTGCAGAGTACAATCAGCACACAGGACCTTGACTCTCAACATATTGCCAGTAAAGCCATGGCATAGGAAACTTTTGAGTCCTGAAAGGTTTCTGTCGATGCTTCTAACATAAATTGTATTAAAACTTGTAGAGGAGTTTCCTGATGTGTAGGCTAGATGTGTTCTCTTGACACACAGCATGGGGCATCAGCTGCAAAGCAGCTCACGCTGAGCCCGTTTCCACTCTGCAGGTAGTGTGAACATGCAATCCCTACAGGGAGAACTGTCAGCAGGCTTGTTATTTCTCTGGTGGTATGGGCTCTTTTATGTCTGGAAACCACAGAGAGTGTGGATTGAGAAGTCACTTTTCATGCACCCTGGCAAACTTTCATAGGTAGGCATTACCTTGAATTTAGCAGTCCTATCAGTGCTAGAATTCCAGACCCTCTATGTCTTTACCAGACATGGAGATTCATATTTCATTAATTTTTAAATCTTTGTGTATTTTGTGTTTAGAACAGTTGCATGGATTAGCCTTGTGTCAGATACACAGAAGTGTTTATGCTTAACGTTTTTACTTACAAACTGCACCCTGGATGGGTGTGTGTATATATGCTATACATTTGTCTGCAAGGGCAGGTAACAGAAGGCACAATCATAGCGACATAGTAATTTGAGATCTCCCCAGAGGTGTTTTTCCAACACCTTATCTAGCTTTTTTGCCTCAAGTCTATTGCTGCAATTTAAAATTCCTTCTGTTCTTCAGGAGAAAAAAACTTCTAAGAACAACTCTGTTGTGGCTCTTTAAGAAGACACAGTTCTTCCAACAGAGTTAAGACATTCCATGTGTGTGTTTCAGTATGCCCCCTGTGAAATCCTGGCAATTAAAATCTGAATTTTTCCAGTGCTTTGCATTCAGCATTTCCCCAAACCATTGGTAAAAGCCCTGAACCTTTAGGAATTCTGAAAGATGCATTTCTAGCATTTTTTTTCAACCTAAAGTTGAAGAGGAGTGAAAAAGGGTTAAGCACTTCGAATTCATGGCTCTGTCCTCTCACATGTACTAGTGAGAGTAGAACAGAAGAGGTCTTCATAAAAGCAAAAGAGACCAAAAAG